GAACCCCCCCCCCCTCTCCTGGTCTGCCCACCCTGCTCTGGCTTACCATGTGGCCCCCAAGTTAGAAAGTTTGCCGATGCCTGTTCTATAGCATTCAGTTATGGCAGTTCAAGCAGTGTCAAACTACATTCATTTTACAATGCAGACACACCCAAAATGGTGCTTATTACCCAAAGTTTCACTTGATGTTGAACAACAAAGAAAAACCACAGTCTATTAACAGGGAACATCAAGTGTATGTGGCCTGAATGGGTGGGTTGGAGTTGGGGAAAAGCCGAGTGAATATTGCTAATTAAAACAGCCGAAATAGAATCACATTTCAGGGGCACAATGGGCTGGAAACTTTCTTCCTATTAATTCAACTTGGTGTAATGACATATCAGAATGAATAGCTAGTGATCTGGAAATTCATTTAGGCCATTAGTTTAATTACAGGAACTGATGGAAGTTTTCTCAGACAATTATGTAAAGAACTAGAGCAGTATGGAATAGATTTAGATGCTTCTGTTTTCTTTCCCCCTTTTGTTTGTATGTCAGTGCTGCATATAGATTATGACATAGGAAACTGAAGAAAGATCAAAACTTACTCCATTCACTATCGGAATCCTTATACTGAATGGAAGGGTTTGATCCATTCAACAATTCATTGATTAGTCTCAAAACATTGTTTGGTTCTAATCAATGTTATTCTGGTCTAGGGTGCATCTACACCAGTGTTTTTCAACCTGTGGGTCCTCAGGTGTTTTGGCCTGCAATTCCCAGAAATCACAGCCAGTTTACCAGCTGTTAGGATTTCTGTGAGTTGAGGTCCGAAACATTTGGGGACCTACAGGTTGAAAACCACTGATCTGCACTGTAGAATTAATGCAGTTTAAAGCCACTTTAACTGCTATGGCTCCGTGCAATGGAATCCTGGAAGTTGTTGCCTTACATGTTATTTAAGATTTCTCTGCTGAGAAGTTCATTTTGGAAGCCTAGAAAGATGTACCTACTCATTTTATAAAATATTGATTAGAACAATTTAACAAACAGAATTATTTAAATATCGCTTATCCGGAGATTCAAAATCCAAAATATTTCAAAATCTAAAATTGATCACATGAGTGGCTGAGATAGGGACAGCTTTGTTTTCCATGGCTCAATGCATACAAACATTATTTTCATCCACAAAATGAGTTTAGACCTGGGCCCCATCTCCAAGATGTCTCATGATGTACATATATGTGAATGCAGACATTCTGAAATCATCTACACACACACACACACACACACACACACACACAGGTAGTCCCCAAGTTACAAACACAATTGGTTCTGGAGGTTTGTTCTTAAGTTAAATGCGTAAGTAAATCAGAGCAGGTACATTTTTAAATGTAACTCTAATCTCTATTAGCTTTGGATCACATAGGGAAAGGTGATTAGTAACACCCTTATGATGTTTCCTTTCTGTCTGAGCCCCTGTTCAGAAGTTTGCACCTACTTTTTGTCCCTGTGAGAATTGGACTTTGAAAAATGTGGTTTGTTGTGGAAACAAGGACTGGCGATAAAGCTTCAGCTTAGGCACCTTTTCCCCGTGATAACTCTTCTAGGAATTTCCCTTCCGAGGGGTAGATTTTGTCAGAGTTTTATAACTATATATCACTTCTGAAGTGGCATTAAGTGATGATAAGAATCAGGACCATTTCAGCAGCAAACATTAAGGACTCAACCACTGGCTAGCACTGAGTAATTTACAATCAGGGTGGAGTAGCTGAAGAGTAAAAAAAAAAGCACCGGCTTCTCTGTAGTTAGAGAGTAAGAGTTGTGTGAGTTGGAGATGGAGATACAGAGAGACTGAAAGATCAATGAAGATCAGTGAGAAGAGCTAAATACTATGGTGAAGGTATGAACTCACTGGGAATGTAAAGTGTTGAAATAAGAGCTGGAAGAGAGTCAAGAATCTCTGCTAGACTTTTGTAAATACAATTGTATAAAGTTTTCTACAAAAGATACAAGTTGTGACTGTCTGCTGAAGAAGGGGGTTGGTTTGTTGCTGAACAAAACCCCCAAAAGTTTTGCTGCAACAGATTTCCCTCACTTTTTGTTGTCTTCGCCCTGTTCTCAACTATGAGTCATTTGTAAGTCAGATGTTTGTAACTCAGGGACACACACACACACCTCCCAAACTCAAAACAGTTCAGGTCCCATGCATTTTAGGTAAGGAGGAATACTCAACTTATACATACATAACACATGCATATATGAAAAGGCATCACATTTTTCTGTCACATGGGTTCTGACTTACTTACCTGAGGACAAAACATCTTGCAGAACATCTAACTGTATATCTATGCAGCAGAAGACCTTTTAATTTTCACCTCACATTATTTTTATTCTCTTCTATCTCTGTCACAATTTGGTTGGTTTTCTTTGTTCTATTTGATGATCTGACAGTTAAAAGTTTTGTCACACTGACTGCAAGTTATCTGAAGCAGCCTTCTTTACAGTAGCCAAGCAAGGAAAAGCAGCAATCAAGAAAGTAATAGGGCCAATTTTCTTAATTAAAATTTAAAAACCAGCTTTAATGCTTTGGAAGTCAAACCAAGCTTTTCTAGTAGTCACAGACAAGCAGAATCCAGCAAGACCTGAATCCGTATTCCGCTTTGGTCCACACAAACTGACAGATAGACAGACTTTCATGGTCAGGTAATCAGGGACCTCTACTATGTTCTCATGGATGCTAAAAGTTATTTAGAAAAAATATATATTCATGGCGCAGGCATCCCCTGCATTTTCCTAGAGCCCTGAAGTTATAGCAGTTTCCAGAACAATGGTTAAAAATAGCAATCAATAGTGAGAACGCAATAAACAGCCAAAACGGAACAGTACTCAAAAGAAAGCCAGGGGGAAAACATCAATGAAAAATTAAAAATGTTGAAAGCTGGAGCACATTAAAAAGGGGTCTTCATCTGGTTGGAAAAAAGAAGATAGAGTTGGCATCAGGCACCAGGGTATAAATCCTGATTAGATTCATCCTCAGGTGGATTTTGAGAAAAGTGGGAACCATTCCTGCTTATCATGAGACAATGAGATTTGTTATTTTCCCCTCATAGAAAAAAAGAAAGAGAATTTCAATGGGAGGATTACTCCCAGAATTCTTAATTTGTCTGTTGCATGAATAAGCTGACATTGGATGAATTTGCTAGCATTTTTGAGCACACATCATCTATAGGATCCATCCTATAGATGATGCGTAAACTGATAATGATAGAACAACATTAGTGACATGGTACACAACCATGGGCACATCTACACTGGCCATTTAATGCAAACCAGCTCCATTACAACCAAAATACGTACAATACTGATCTGAGGGTTTTTGTTTTTTTTTTGGTGTCAGGAGAAACATGAGAAACTGCAAGTCACTCCTGGTATGAGAGAATTGGCCATCTGCAAGGATGTTGCCCAGGGGATGCCCAGATGTTTGATGTTTTACCATCCTTGTGGGAGACTTCTCTCATGTCTCAACATGGGGAGCTGGAGCTGACAGACGGAGCTCAAGCCGCTCTCCCCAGATTCAAACCACTGACCTGTCCATCAGCAGTCCTGCTGGTACAAAGGTTTAACTCATTGATCTGAGGTAATGTGGAGCAAAGCAACCTTGACCCATGTTAATCAAAATCATCCCCAAAATTGGGAGCAATCTGTGAATTTGGCCCGCAGTTGGTCCGGATATGAAGCCACACAAACTTTATGTTCATTGGGTTCAGGTAGCCATGAACATGGGATGGCACTCACCATCTCTTCTTGTTCTTCTTATTGTGATGGCCTCCATGCGTGATATGGGTCCCGTTTGTCACTTGTCATGTGATGATGTTTATTTATTTATTTATTTGCTTTATTTCTATACCGCATTTTTCAGCCCTTAACAGGCGACTCAATGCGGTTTACATGGTACAATTATCAAACAGTGTCAGTGCAATTAAAACATAACAATGCAACAAACAGGATCAACAGCATCAATCCACAACAGTTAACAATCAACAAGACAGATCAACAAAACAAACATAACATAACGCCTCAGTTGAAATGTTATGAAATGTTAGCTGTCATGATGGGGGATTGGGGAAAGGAGGCAGAGTGGAGGAGATGATTCTTCCACTCCCCATTCCTTGTCACGCTGGCATCCTGGCCAACATCACCTACAGTGGCAAGCACCCAGCAGGACCCACATTATGCCTGGAGACCAAGACAACAAGGTGAATGGGAGGGGATGATAAGGAGGACTGTCCTATAGTGACAAACTGAGTTTGGCACCACTGGGCAGTGGGATCTCTTTCCTGCCTCCACAACATGTCAGATCTTCCCTAGGATAATGGGTCAGTTTAGATCTGCCCCATGTTTGAGAATTGTGATTATATGCAATGGGACACCACATATCAGGGATACACAATAAGCCACTGTGCAAGATGTTCCATACAACGGGGCACTGCAAAAAGTGAGACCATTTTTCCAGTGAGGTGGATTTATTTATTTATTTGTACTCTATGTTTTCTCCCCACAAGGAGACTCAAAACAGCTAACAGAGCACCCATTTTTGTCCAAAATTGTCCTCCCAGCTCTCTGTGGGTGTGTTGGTGGCCATTTCACCCTCTTCACCTTGGACTGTTATTGAACATGGACGACCGGACCCTGGGAAATATGCTTCACAAAACAGAACCGTCTTGTGGTTTGCGTGCATAATTAGATAACTCCCCACTCGGTGACCTTGGGCAAGTCACACCCTCTCAGTCTCATAGGAAGGCAATGGCAACCCTTGTTGGAATATATATAGCCCCAAAAATCCTACAGTAGTCTCTATAAGTCAGAGTTGCCTTGAAGGCACATGATAATAACAATACCCTAAGCATTTAAACAACACCCCTCTGTGTATTACATTAAGAGCTTGATAATGTGATTGACATTTCTTCAGGCAAGAAAAATGTAAATAAATTACAAAGAGAGCTGTAATGCTGGCTTACTTGTGGACGTGTATACTAGCGAACTGGGGGCACTGTACACGGGAGATCCTTCTTGGTTTGCCTGGCACAGCAGCACCCTGCCTATGGGAGAGAGACACACAGAGAGACAGAGGAAGAGAGTAGGTTCTGAGATAGGGAGTGTGCAAATTGAATCTGATAAGATATATTAGTATATATTCAGGAGCAAAAAAAATCACAATACAATCAAGCCATGAAGTTATGGGAAATGCAGTGTTTTGAAGATCACATGTGATGAAATGGTTTGGGAGCTGGACTTTATGACTCTGAAGACCAGGTTTGGATTCCCGACTTGGCCATGGAAACCATGGAGCTCAGGAAAGTTACGCACACTTGGCCCCAGAAAACCCTATAAAAGGGTCTCCATAAGTTAAAAATGGCTTGAATGCACACAAAAACAAGCAAACATTAATCATTTTTAGAAAGACCCGGGGAGTCCATTTAAGTCCATTTAAATCACCTCAAGTCGCCTCTGGGTTGAGAGGGGCAGTATATAAATATGGTAAATAAATAAATAAGGTGTTTGTATGTATTTGACTGAGCCCACGTCTCCAAAATGAGTATCTGAAAATTTCATATTGGGAGATTTCAAAGTGGTAAAGTAGAGAACAGTGTTGGTGGTGGTGGAGGAGTGGTGAATTTGTTCTGTATCTCAGTCGAGACTTCAAAGGAACCTTTGCGTAAGTTGTGAATCCATCCTGTGGATAGAGTTCACCACTTCAGGTGCCTCCTGATCTGGAAACTATTGGCCACCACTGAGCACTTTGCATAAAGAATTAAGAAAAACCATTGGGTCAAAGTGAAGTGGTCAGATACAAATGATTGATGATGTTGAATTCCAGAAAAGTATTCCCCCCTCCATGTCTGATCCCATTCTGCACCAGCTCAGCATTTGTCCATGCCATTTTTGGAGAAATGACATAGTGAAACAAAAGTGTTCAAACCTGCAATACAGTAGTTCATCAATGTAACATATTATCCCTAAATACTTTAATTTACCCCCTTTATAGTCTTTCCCCAAATGGGGATTAATAGTAACACTATGTTGCTTTCAGATACCATTTTGGGAGAGATACCAAAGAGTTTGTGCTTCTAACATATGATTGTGAGGGCTAGCGATAGCCTTTAGGGGTTGTAAAAGGGATAATTGCATAGTAAAATGACAAATCAAGGTTTGATTGTTATAAATGTTGGGTTAATAAAAATAAATTAAGATTATTTTGGTTTCTGTTTTCTCTAGTTGTTGTAAGCAGTGGAGCAGCATCCAAGGTGGCAGTTTAGAGCACTTCTGTTATTCTCTGGCTTGCGATCAAGTGGTGTTAAGGTCTTAAGTCTGAAGACCAAGAAATTCTCCCTTACATCCCAAGAGCTTGAAAGAAATGGTCTCTTCATTCCTGTTGTAAACACATTGGAGAGGCCAAAGTCTTCTGATTTACAGTGTCAAGCTTCTGCTTGCTCCAGGTTCCTTTTTTCACGCATTTCTCTATAGATTGTATACACTTTCTAGGGTGCCTTTAGCCAAACAGATTAAGTTGCTTTCCAAAGACAGAGACATCAACACTATATTGTTTAATATTACTTACGTTAATTATACATAGCTGTTTGTTTCAAAACATTTTAAAAAAGGGAAAGCCGTAGCCATTGTTTTAAAAAAATGCAATGTTAAAATATTACCATACAAATGGTAAAAATCCCAGTGAGATTAACAACTCTGATGGCAGTTAATGCATTTCTAAAACTTCTGAGAGGCTGTTACAGCCCATTATGGCTGAAATATTGGTGTATGAAAAATTAATAAAGCCAGAAGAAAATGGAATTCAGCATCTGTACCAGCTATTTACATAGAAAGAATCACCCAGAATTAATTATGCCCTATGTTACATTCTAATGAGTTTTTCATTAAAATGTACACTATTATGGAAACTAAACAAGGATTATTCAAAGAAAAATGCCAACAGCTGTTATTTTTTTGAGAGATTAAAATTAGTTAATTGGTTATACATTTAAATCTCACGCAGGGTTAATCGAATGCTATTTATCATGCTGTTCGTCTGTGTGTTTTGTAAAGGAAACAGTATATACATTACAACAGGGGTGGATTTCTCTTCTCAGGATGGGAATATAGTCAGCATGGATAGTTTTGGATTCAGGTAATACACTTTATGTAGGATGTAGCAAATCCCTTTATGTATGAGCAAATGAACATACAAGCTAGTGGCTGCATCTACACAGTAGAATGAATGTGGGCTGACACCACTTACTACAGAATCATAGAAGTTCTACCTTGACAAAGGTTTTAGCTTTGCCAAAGAGTGTAAGTCCCTCACTGAGCTACAAATCCAAGAATTCCACAGAATTGAGCATGGCAATTGAACTGATATCAAACTGTTTTCATTCTACAGTTTAGATACAACCAGTGTCTTCATTTCTCTTCCAGCTTGCTTTGTCCAATGCTAGGTTCCTTGAACTCAATCCATGGTGCATCAATTTAATTTTAGACCCATTTTCAATAGCCTTACATTATCAATACAATAAGACCCTCATAACTTCAGAACCGATATCCATGGTTTCACTTACCTGCAGCTCAGGGAGATGTGTTCTCTTTAGGAATTTACTAGATCTACTAAGTGACATATTTCTTCTGGAAGTTATGCTAGAGTTGCATTGTACAGCTTAGCAAATTCCTAGAAAGGATACCTGCCATGACCAATATTAAAGGAACAAAAGAATCCCAACAATGTCCTCTCCAAAACCAACATTTTCATGTGCAAGTAAGATTGTTATAGATATCGAGAATATATATTTTAAAGAAAATAAATATGCTCCAGATTCCATTATATCCTAATTGGATTTATTGATGTGTTGACTCACCCTTCAATAGTTGACTTTAGTCTGGATGAAACAATAGAATTTAGGACTAACGAATGTTTCAAGAACTATGAAAGAATGTTGTGAGAACTATGAGTGAATATTGCAAGGCAGGTTGATGTTAGGCTTTTGTGATATTGCTTCCGTGGTTAAACTGACACACTGCCCCCTCCCCCAGCATTAAAACAGTCTATGAAACATTAAGCATTTTTTTCCTTCCATATTTCATGTATTGAGGTACTTCAGCTAAGCTTATTCCCATGGAACTCTTGAGAAATTGGTGTTAAGGTACTAATCTGCTGAGGGAATATGGGATGCTGCACATCTGTACAACAATGCTGTACGTCAGGCATGGACAAACTTTTTTGCCCTGGACCACATTGGTGGGAGGGCTGGACCAGGGTCAGGAGAGGGTGGGATTGGGATGGGAGGGGCGCTTCATCCTCCTAGCATCATGCTGGGAGGAGGGCAAGGCAGGTAGTTTCTGAAAGGGCTCCACAACCCTTTCAGATGCCACCTGCCTTCCTGGCTCAAGCCGTTCTCTCTGGAGAAGGACTGGGCTCCATGCTTCCTTCTGCTGAGAGGAGGGCAAGGCAAGGAGGCACCAGCTGAGAGGAGGAGACAGGCCGTCTCTGAGAGCACTCTCTCTCAGCAATGGCCTGTCCTCCTTGCCCCACGCTCTCCTTTCAGCCTGGGAGGCAACAGTCTGCTGCTTTCCCAGGTGGAGGAGAGGAGGTGGAGGAGATGGGCCATTGTCGGAGTCCTCCACCTGAGATGGCGGTGTGCCACATTCCCAGAAGAGATTGGCCATTGCTTTTTTTCTGAGCCTAAGATAATGGGGCCTGCCCAAAGTGACCCAGTGGGTTTCATGGTCCAGCAGGGATTGAAACCCTGGAATTGAATATCTAACATGTAATAGTTACATGTTTGAGAACCCTCTAGACTAGGGTTCTCAAACTGTTTCAGTCACTGAGTCCTTTTTTGAAGTAAAAGTTTCTCATGAAGCTTCAAGAAATGTGTATATATTATAATATATAACAATGGAAACACGCCCCCAACAGATGGCCACCAGCCTTTGTTGTAACAACAACAACAACAACAACAACAACAACAATAACACTACTAATAATAGCAGAATCCTCAGGGGCGATTCAGTTCAGTTCCCTTCTGTCATGCAGTAAAAGCACAATCAAAGCACTCCCTGAACAGTGAGAGGGAAATAGGGTTTTGGAAGCAAGGAAGGCAAGGGGAAAAGGCTTTTGGAGGCAAGGGAGTCATGTACTTTATATGTTTTGATCTGTTAGTATTATATGTATTCTACTGTTGAACTGTTTTAACAGTTTTTAGTATATGGGATAGGTTTTATGACTATGTTTGAAGTGGCACTGAATGTTGCTGGAGTTGTAAGCCATCTTGAGTCCCCCTACAGGGGTGACAAAGGCAGGGTATAAAAGAAGCAAATAAATAAATAAGGGAGATGTGGAAGGGGAGGAGCAGGAAACACAAGGGAATGCTTGAAGGGGGAGGAGGAGGGAGGAGGAGGAAACTATGGAGCCCCTCAGGGTGCTTCATGGAGTTCTAAGGGCTCCATGGAGCACATTTTGAGAACCTATGCTCGAGACAATGCGTGACAGCCTCCTGTACTTTTGCACCCGCGGATACCACTACAGTGAACATGGGAGAGGGACAGATCCACCCCATGTTCATTCCATGTCCATGGGCCTCCTGAACCTGAGGAATATAGGATGGCTCTGTAAACAGGTGTGGCCAACTCTGTGATGAAATTTTCCCATCTGTTTACATAGGCCCAAAGGTGCAGTTTGCTCTGGATTCTTGGGGAAACTCAGGAGTAACCTGCCACTTTTCTTAATGCACATTAAGCCACTTTGACTCATGTTAATCTCAACTGACTCTCTTGTGTTATGTAGCCACCATGGAGCTAATCTGCCCTCCCCTTTGGGTTTAGATTTCCATGCAGATGTTCTCCTAGTAAAGAATTATATCGCTATCTTGGAAAGGTATAAGTGTAATTTGCTCATTGCTTTATGCTTCGGGCAGTCCCTGGTAAATACAGAACTTTAAAACTTTCCCAATTATCCAGTGTTTGATAGCGAATTTCACATACAGCTGCTTCAGAAGCCTTGTTGAGCTGGGAATACTGAAATTATTGTCACCTTTACTCTACCTTATATTCT